TTTTAACCACAATAGCCTACCCCTAGGCCTATGTGTTGGCCATAGCTTGGGCTATGGGCCAAAGAACGTAGGCCTATTTTTATTCACAGTGAAGTACACAAACACATCCACAACTACATATTTATTCATAATAGCACTTCGTTTCACCAAATAAAGTTAATCCGGCCGATTTTACAAGTATCTAACGCCGACGACGACATAACCCCAAACTGGTGTTTATTTGTTGACAGACGACAGACGAAACTAGACCAGCTCAACAAGTGAATTTGCGATCAGCTGTTGTCTAGTAGTACTTGAGTTCGCCGCTTGAGCGCGTAAGCCTCGAGCGGGCAGGAACGAAGGATTTTACTCAGACAGTCAGACAGGATTATTCGTTCGTACGCCAGCTTCGAAGTAACTTCGTCGTAACATTCACCTGTTATCAACGCTTGCACAGATCATCGATAATTTGTTTACCGAAGGTTAGCTATATTAGTTAATCACATTGCTACGATTTACGTTTAAATTTCCTTTTAACATTCGCATTCCCGTTTCCAAATTCGATATTTAATAACTTAAATTTCGCCGACTTGATTCTAGACCCGCCAGTTCCTGCTTGCCAGTGACTAGCGGTGATTATCGTTTGGTTTGATTTAAACCAATTAGTTTCAAATTACGATTTCTACGAATGATTATTACGTACGTTTATTCTAATTAATTCGCCATTTTAGTGCCCCGAGACTTGTCTGAGTTCTAAACCCCGTCTTTGGCGGGCGAGAGAACCTAGTCTTGGGAGTAGGCTGATTTGAACAATCAGCTACGTAAATTAATACTAAATTTATTTTAAATCATCTCACGTTAAATTATCCGTTCAGTTATTAAGCCCCGACGACTCTGTAGGAATTGCTTTTACACTATATTCGATTTTATATTATTTACCTAGACCTTTAGTTAAATATTTTAAAGTTCATTACGAGTATTTATATCACATTGGCTTAAGATTGGATACTCGTCGGCCCTACAGAGTCATTATAAAAGTTAGGCAAAATTCTCCAAAACACTTTTACGAAGGCTGGGTTGATATAACTCCAACTGAGCGTCTGCAGGATTTCCTGAGCGCTTCTAGAGCTCTGAGCCTTCGATAAAATTTAAATAAATTGATCAGTCAAAGCCGTGACAACTTCGTATCGACCCCTGGATTTTTCTCGGCTCCTTCTGAGCACTCCGGGGAAGAAATTTGAGTGTGGCCAGTTCTAGGGGTAGGCCTAGCCTGACTTAGGTGAATATTAGTTTATTCCCCCCCTAGAATTTTGCGTCACACCTTTTGACTTCATTTTTTCCTATTTGTTAAAAAAAAAAAAACTATTGTGTTTGTATGGTTTATTTCCCCAAAAATAATGTTTGGGAAACGGAGTATCCGGTTAATACTTTTCGGACCTCTAAAAGTTTATCTACATACGACAAATCTTTGCGAAGAACGGGTATGACTGCTAGTTAACCATAAAAGAATGTTAAATACGTTTTTTAATCGGGATTATTTAAATAAAATCAGTACAATTGTTTGTACAATTAACAAATATGATTATAGTACAGACAGTTGCTAATTGATGCATTTACTTCCTTTTGCCGCACTCCAGTATTCTAGTATTCCAACCAAACAGCACAAATTGTTTAAAAACAACATAAAAGAGTTTAGTTTTATTATGACGTAATACGCGTATTCTTGAAAATAAGTTGACAGCACTTAAATATACTACGACTACCATCAACTAACTGATATTGTCTTTCTAATTTCGTCCAACGCTTGGATTTAAGCTAACCTATTGTATGTATAGTGTTTAAATCACTAAGTATTTCTATGCTTTACAGTAACTGTAGGAAAAATATAATGTGTCACACTAGCCACACAATAGTATATTACGTTACTAGTCCTGAAAATAAGTGTTTACCGGACGAGTGTGGTCGTTCCCGTGCGAGACGAAGTCGAGTACGGGATTACTATACGAGTTCAGTAAACACATTTTGGACGAGTGACGTACGATAGTTTACGCCATACTACTAAATCTGTAAAAATTCTTTATATTACCACCAACTAAAAGACTAAAAATCATTAGTCACAACCTCTAAGAGAGGTTATGTTTTTGTTTATAACTACTCATTGCCAGTGCCACCCAAATACAGTATAATCAGCTGAGTCGGGGGCATCCGACTTGCGCATAATCCCGGGTCACCAGCCGGGGGTCGACAAATTAAAACGCACCCCAACGTCCGACTTGCGCATCGTCCAGTCAGGCAGACTAATTGGGTAATCAAGCGTTATTAACATGGTTTGTATGTATGGTTACCTAGGCTGCAGGTCTGTTGTAGGGGAGGTTTTGACAATATGAGAATCAAGGGACCATCAAAACAGTTGTGTTTGAAAAATATCCCTGCCCCTCACACGATATTCTTCAATTGGAAGTTTGGTTTTTAACAGAGTTGGCGTTAATTTGTACTCATATTATTGTAATTGTACATGAAACCCCTTTTAAAGGCTGTAAGATTTTATTTTAAATACAGTAGTTAGTTATAAAGATTATACTTCAGGAAAATTTTGAAAACAATTTTAAATATGTACAGTAATAAAATAAAACGTACTCACACATATGCATACGTATTCATTTTATCGAACTGTGTTTTTAGCCTATGGGGACTTTGAAACGAAAAGTTATAATGGCCATACGCCATCGTGTACTTTATCCTTATAGGAAATATGCTTAAGCCCTGGTCAAATTGCTAAATCTCTTATTAAAATTCTGAATATTTATGAAGGTTAATATAACAATTAATTGCCCTTACAAATAAATATGAGTAATTTGGCTGTAAGTTCCATTATCTTATCTTATCTTACTAATATTATAAATGTGAAAGTTTGTGTGTTTGTTTGAAGTTCAATCACGCATTAACTACTGGACGGATTGGGCTGAAATTTGGCATGATGATAGCTCACATTCCCGATTAACATATAGGCATATTCTTATCTCAAAATCCTTTCGGGCTCCGCTCCAGTGGCTCTGTAGTTCCACATGTTAACCTTATTAGTATTCATATTTAAAGGAAATTTGTTCAACGCTGTTTCAACTTAAAAAGTTGGTTCTATAACATGCAAAAGCATTAAAAAGTTATAAGTTTACCAACAGGGTGTAGCACTATATTTTTTTGCATTTATGAAAACAGCTAATTTGAACTAAGCAGCAACAAAAACTGCGATACGCAATGAGAACTATCGGTCAAAGTAGGATTGTTACAGTTATGTTTATGTTTTTAATTTCATGAATAATCTGTGATATTTTGCGATTTTTTGATAATTTATTTTTCTCTATGGTTTAGGTGAAGTGGTAGAACATTATGGCTATGGTAGATGTGTAATACTATAGAATACTGTAAATTTAAAGAAGCAAATTTTATTAAGCTGCGTCCTCCCCCATTTCAAACTTAAAGCTTGAGTATAACTGCAATGACCATTTTATACTTAGATGCCAACCCCGTACGAAGGATGGGTACTCGGCTAGTTGTTAATAAATTTGTGTTTTAGTATTTTCTAATTTAACCCAGTATTCAATATTGTGTGTGTGAGTATATTTAAAAGAGCCTTAAACGAGTATTACTCGACGAAAACGTAAATAAGATTTTTTTAGATTTTTTTACTTGTGATTAATTCCAGCAGTTCTAATTAAACAACAAATCGTAAATAATTATCGCTTAGTCAGAAAACAAAATATCTGGATTATATCTTGAAAACGGAACTTAGTTTTATATATATATTTACTCAATTCTAATTACGTCATCCTATTTGATTTGACCAAAGAACCTTCAGTGAAATTCCTGCTTCCATTTGAATTATTGATGATTAAGATTGGAAGTAAGTTACCCAAAGCACACGGACAAATCATTTTTAATAAATCATTTTCCTATAAATTGATACCATGCACTTCTTGGAAATACTCGAGGAACAGATGTAGTATTGACTTTAGGAAAGGATTGGATTAATATTCCAGTTCCACTCAATATTGCAAGCAGAAAACTGCGTTGTTGTATTTTTAGACCTCATTCAAGACAGGGGTGGTGCCAATCTGTCGTGGTGACAAGCTGACGGCGGCCGCAGAGGTGCCAATCAGTCGTAACAGTACACGACAGATTGGAACCTCGAGAAAGGGGTGGTGCCAATCTGTCGCGGTGCCAAGCTGACGGCGGCCGCAGAGGTGCCAATCAGTCGTAACAGTACACGACAGATTGGAACCTCTAGAAAAGGTTGGTGCCAATCTGTCGTGGTGCCAAGCTGACGTGGGGTGATATTTCATGGCCTCATGTCAACGAGGTTCCAATGTGACGCCGGGTGCTAAAACACCATGGTGCCAATCTGTCGTGGTGCCAATCTGACTGCGACTCTAAAAAACAATACACAACGTTTCGGTATCTGTAATCCGTTCCCGTCCTCAGGTGAAAAAACTTAACTAACACATTACAACTAACAATACAGAAACGCCCAACCTAAGTTGGAATACATTACACTGGAATGCAGTAAAACAAAATATGCACTGTGTAGCAGTGAAGTCATTATACAACATGCAAATAATAACCAATCACAAAACACTATAAACTATAAAAGGTGTAACGTAAAAAGCTCACACAATGAAACACTAATAGCACCATTCGCAATGACTCCACCAATGAGACTGAAGCAATGAGACTGATGATCTTGCGGCATCGTACATCGCTCCGCCATTTTGTTGGTTTTACTTTTCCAGGGACCGGAAGCCATTTCTGTTGTCTCCGTGTTTTCCGTATTGTGTATTGTGTATTGTTAGTTGTAATGTGTTAGTTCAGTTTTTTCACCTGAGGACGGGAACGGATTCCAGATCCCGAAATGTTGTGTATTGTTTTTTACAATCGTGATGGAAAATGTCCGCAATAAACCTTTGAACAACATAATGGTATAATAGAGAGAAGATCGGGTTTGTCAAACATTATTGTTTTTGCAGCCAGTAGACCAGATAATGTCGTGGTGTGAGAGACTCAGTCAGGACGGCCACACAGCTCAAGGTCTACACATTGCAGTAGACTCCAGTTTCTACCACAACAACACAGACTTGACCCTAGACCTACTGCGAGTGATGAAGCAAAGACAGGAACCAGTCAGAGCCCATTACTTCTGGCCCTCACTGGCAACGGCCGGCAAAGCTAAGGATTTTGATCGTAAGTATCACTATACAGGGTGATTGATATAAGTGTGCCAGCCGTTTTATTCGAAAACCATAAGAGATATCAAAAAAGTTAAATGGTAAGTGCCTTGGACTTTTTATTAAAAAAATTGTACTAAAGTCGGAAAAATTTTAGCCGCCATTTTTCCAATATGGCCGCAAACTTTGATTTTTCTTATGGAACACCCTGCATTTTATGATGTATTCTGGTAGAAAATGTAATTTTAAGACGATTTTATTCTTGTGATTTTTTTCATAAACCTAACAGTTTCAAAGATAATAATGGTTTAAGTTGTGAAATTTTGAATGGATTTAAACAATGCTAAACAACGTAAAAGGAGTATTAGCATTGTTTAAATGGAGAAAAGTGGTCATACATTACGAAAACAACACGTTTCTCTGTTATTATTTATCCAATCTTAACAAATAAGGTATCATTGAAAACTACATAAAATTTACAAACTTTTTTGTCTCCTGCAATTTTTTTGTAAAGTTAACGGTTTTTGTGAAATTTGGCATCAAATATTTTAAATGGCCGCCATTTTGAAACAGTTATTGATTTTTTGTATAATTTCTAACAATAATAGGTCTTAATAAGATTAACATTTTTACAAAATATCAAAGCTGTATCTCAAACCGTTTAGGATTTATTAATGCTTATGTAAAAAACACATAAATGCCGACAGTCGGTAAACTAGACACCACAGACCCATGTTCCTATGGTGAAATGTGTTTGTCTTGACCTAAGGAATAATGCTATGTACAAGTGTCCAGAGAGTTACGGGACACCATGTAGAATAGATTGTATTACTCTACCTTCTGTGTTCTGTTAATGGATCCATGTTGGCAGTGATACTTTTGTATGGTATCACTGTGTGGGTAGATGGTGTGTGCTGGCCCCTTTCTTGACCCCCGAGTTTAACTACTATTTATTCCTCCTGGTAATAAATAGAATAGTAATAATATTTGTTCTGCACACTATAGGCCTGTGACACATGCTCTCATCTGTGTAGGCCTACATCTACCTTTTATGCTAGCAGGGCCCTGTTTCATAAAGATACTAGTCTAGTAATTACTAGTCTAGTAAATACTAGTCCCGTATTTACCTGTCCTACTAATTTGTGTTTCATAAACGTTTTTATACCGCTAGTAAATACTAGTGAATTTTACTAGTCACGTGACCAACTTTGCAAGTGAACTCTCAAAACAAATTTCTAACCTCAATCACGGGTTTTCTGACGCTTCATAGGCTAAAGCGTTTTAGTTTTTTCTTTCATTTGATACTAAAAGTAAATAGTTGTAGAAACGCAGTGTTTTCTTTTAATTAATAACTATATAGACACATAGGTAAAACAATCACACATTATTTATCAAACCGCTATTATTTATGTTCATCAATGAGCCTGCCGGCGCGGCGCGGCGTCGCGTCGCTGCAGTCAACACGGTGATTGTAGTAGCCGGTTGTAGGCCTAGTTGCGGCGCTCAACAGTTGGGTGGAAGTTGATCTGTTGCTGCTGCATTCGCTGTGATTTGTATAGTTTTTGTTTTATTCTGACATATAAAATTAAGCTTGCTATGAGTAAAGAAACGAATGCTCGAATTTTGATGTAATTAAATCGTCTAAGGACATTTTGTTTGGAACGTTTTCAAGTACCCTAACCTATGTTTTTAAATATTCGCAAATATTCGCATTCAAATGCATAAGAATATTTGGGTTAAAAACCATTTGCTGATATTCTAATTTTGAGTCCACAAACCATGAATAATAAGCCTAAACGTTTATTGATGTAACAAATAATTGCAACGCCATTACAAGCAATGGAGAAGTAGGTTTTCAAGTATAGTAAAACATGGCAAAGGCCCTATTGTAGGGCGTAGCTCAGAGGTAGAGTTTTCGCCTCTCGTGTGGTGGGTCGCTGGTTCAAATTCGCACCACTCACTATACTTTTTGTTCCATTAATTAAACTTTTACATGTTTTTACATTAAAATAACAGCTCTAATCAACATCTAATTTTTTTATTACTTTAAATAACAAATTCAGAATACCAAAATGGATTAAAAGTAATGTTTTTATGATAAGCAGTTCAGTCCAACGCCCAAAAATCAAATATAGGCCTACAAAATTGTTAGTACATCACAGGGTTTTAGCTATTTAGGGAAGCAAATAATAAGCACCTCAAAAAATACAATGAAACTCCTCTTTAAAATTGTCTTACTATTATTTCACATTAAAATGTCTTTAAAAAACCGAGAGCCTTGGGTGTAAAATAATCTGATTAATGTTGCAATGTTGGATACATTTTTGTACATCTTTGTATGCAATACGGTATGCGGGTTTAATTTGGTTTCTTTCAAAGATTAAAAATATTTTATCTGTGATAACTAAATAGTTTATATAACCATGAAATTTAACTCAAGTAAATTTAGACTAAAGCTGGGTTTTCCTAGATGCGGAGTCGGCCAGCGGAGAGCGGACAACGGAGAGCGGAATTGAAATTAACATGGCATTCCGCTCCGCTGCTAGGAAAACAGTAACATTAAATTACCTAAGACAAGCTGAGTCCGCTCTCCGCGTTCCTCTCCCCGCTGGCCGACTACGCGCCTAGGAAAACCCGGCTTAATATTTCACAGAAATTGATAACATATAATTATAATTATTCTAATAGGGCGATTGTACATACATTATAAAATTCAATTTCACTCATTTCGTACTACGCCACATTTATTGATTGTAATTTACATCTAATAATTATCATTTTACTACTCACAGATCTATTTTTATCTTAAATTGCAAACTTGAGCCAATTCGCACTTGAAAAAAGAATTCAATAATTCATTTTTTTAATGATGTGAGTAATGAAATAACTCTTTTTCCAAAAATACTAGTCTACTTCAAATAATACGGGTGTAGAGAGGTTGTTAGAAAATGGCAAGTATTTACCAGTGTAATTTACAAGAGTAAAACTTTATGAAACACATTGCTATCTACACTAGTAAAAACCACTAGTAATACTAGTCCCTACACTAGTAACTAGTATTTTACACTAGTAGGTTTTTGAAACGTAGACTTGTAAAATACACTAGTATTACTAGTCCATGGACTAGTAAATACTAGACTAGTATTTTTATGAAACAGGGCCCAGGTGTGTTAAAAATTCTATTTTGAAAGTTTTAATGTATAAATTACACGATCGCACACTTTTAATATGTTTTATATGTTATCGGACCTTTTTAATCCTGTTAGGACAAATAATTAAAACTTTACAATCATATTTATCTATTATGTATCTTCCAATCGAGTGGGGTTGATCCATTTAATTAATAGGCCTACATTTATTCTTAAAGTCTTGTTTATAAGCAAATAGTTAAAATTGTTTTGTTTACTAGTAACTAATGTATAAATTTAATTTAAATCAGTCTGTTGTATCAATAATGCACAATGCAATTTAGAGGAAATTTTTAGAGCCGTTTAAAAAATCATTATTAGTAAAATAAGGTATAAAATTAGGCCTAGTGTACTATTTTTTAAAATTGAATTTAAAAATGTTTTATTCTCAACAGGTGTGTTGGAGATTGTAAGTCTGATGGACAGTGAGTTTGGTCTGACAATCAATTCGGAAACTCTCAAAGACTACATTATGCCATATGTCCCACCATCTAAAAGTGTAAATGAGGTAATGTTGATTCTAGATATTTATATTTTTCTGTCATAGTGACACAGCTTAAACAATAATATTTATTTATTGCAAACGGCGATACACCAATACAAAAGTATTACAAATATGATAGCGTTGAAAACAATGTCCAGTTTCACAGTTTGATTTATTTCTACAGAATTAATTGTCAACTTGAAAATAACTACATCCAACAAACAATCACATTTTCAAATATTGTAACAAGCAATATTGTAATTAATCTTACTTCTAAATTTAGTTCATTATCATTTAGTTAGTATTACGATAGCTCATATAGCTGAATACATTACCAGCCTAAACATTAATTGTAATAATCTCACTTCTACATTAAGACCATGAGCTATGTTTTGTGAATTTCCCATATAAGGAATAACTTACACCTCTAATCAAATTTTGCAAATTTGTTTATTTCATCCTAAGCTATTAACATTTCCCAAAAAAACTCACCTTATTACCACGCTTGTAGCAGCTAACCTAAGTAGTCGTTTTTCACCTTATGATATTTAATACTTAACAACAAGTGAATTTGCCATATTTAAGGAATTATCTAAGTGAAAATGCAACTATGAAAAAGGAACCATGTAAATTCTCTAAGCAAGTTTCAGCAGCGAGGGTATTTGGGTTTTACACTGCTAATGCATGTAAAATGTCCATGACAGTAACAAGGTTGACTTGAATCATTGCAGATCCTTGAGTCCTTGAGCAATGTTGGTGTCAAGAGAGGACAGGCAGTTGTAGGGATGGTCAGCTGCTTTGTGAATAAGAAGAAGCCAAAGGAAGCTGCTGATTTAGGTAAGTCACAAAACATTAAGTGCGGTAGACTTATTACATTTTGATCTTGCAGATTTTTAAAATAATAAAATTGTTTGAACCAAAACCAGCTGTTACCCAAAGATAAAGATAGGTTGAAAGAATCCTAAAATAAAAATTTGTATGTAAAAAATACAAAATGGTGGATCTGTTTAACGAAGCAATTTTGGAAAAAATTTTGTTCTTGAATTCCTCTTTATTTTGACCCATAGAACCATTTCCCGGAGTTTGGCTGTTTACTTACGGGCACTCTGTATATGGATACCAAAAGATTACAATAAAATGCTTGGATTTTACACTTTTGAACACGAACGAACACTTTTGAATTTCATCACCCACCCCTATTTGTGGGTGGGTGATGAAATTCTAAATCATGTTAAAAATTATGTGACATTATGGTCATGTGTACTAAAGGTTATTTGAAAATTTACAGCCATGAAAAAAATTCAAGTGATCGAATGTAAAGTTCCAGTTAAATTAATGTCTAACATTTCTTGCCATAACTTTTTGAAAATTTGCCGTATCAAAGTCGGATTTGTGGCATTTATCCTTTTTTAAAGTTCTTTAAATGATGTGCTACTTGATAGGGATTTTCATTTAAAACTTTTAAGTTAACCCCAGCAATCTCTATTTTGGGGCGGGGGTTCATTTCAAAATACCACCAAAAGTACTTTACATTACCCTAGTAACGTGAATTAAAGCTCGTTTGAATATATGCAGCCGTTCAAAAATTAACCAGGTGTGGAGTATTATGGTACACCTCACACCATAAAAAAACACGGGTCTAGTCCTATCCATAGTTAAATATATTACTTGGACTTTTCTAAACAGGGATACTAGTACAGTAGACTCCTTCTTATCCGGACACCTTTTAACCAGACATCGGTTTAACCGGACTACACTCGGTGGAAATGACATCTCTGAAACCGGACAATTTTTATCAGCACTTTGGTTTAACTGGACTAGATCGGCAGGAAGTGGGCAGTACTGAAAAGACTGTTCTCGTGGGAAAGATTTACACCAGTGTTCATGAGTTTAAATACTCTCCTAAACTTAAGTAAAATATCACAGTAAAAAGTCAGTTTTAACGAGTTTTTGGGGACGTTGGTTCGGACTGGCTTTGGTCCTGATAAGTCTGGATAAGAGGGAGTCTACTGTAAATGAATGTGCATTAACTGAATCTAAACATATTTGACCTATTTTAACTGAACTTCTTTTTTGTAGCAATGCAGTATCCAACCCTGAACTACAGTAACTATTTGACAAGTAAAAATCTGGTCGAACTCTTGCAGTCAACAGGTGATGCAGCTAGTGTTATCAGCCTGCTTCATGTTATGAGTCAGAACCCCTACCAAGCGTCCAGGGAAGATAAGGTAAATTGAGATATCAATTAGCTAAAAGCACAGATTAATCTTTCCCATCCTCATGAATCCAGCTGAACACAATTTCAACATACCCCCGTCGCAGCAAACCTGCATACTAAGCGAATTTCCATTTACCCGGGTTGATTTCTACTAAAATATTCCCTATAAATTTTCAGATTTATTTCCTATTTAAATACCGGTAACATTAATTTTACTGAGTAGTTAGGTTTGCTGCTACGGGGAAGATGTTGAGGTGTGTTTTTTTCAATTTAAATATTGATAGCTTAGTATGAAATGAACCAAATTGCCAAATTTGATTAAAATATATCCATAAACAAGCAAACTAGAACAGTTTATTTCTCCATAAGAATAACATGGGAATTTTAAATTTACAATTTTTTAAATTTTCTCCGTAGTCAATTACCATTCAAAAACACTTCAATATACTAAATTATTTGTTTTTTAAGCTCTTCAAAATGGTCTAGAGAGAAATTTAGAAATTTAAAGTTTTTAGGGTCAAAAATGAGAAAACCCCATTTTTACCCCATAAAACCCCCCATAAACCCCTGATCCCGTGGTCCGATTATGCTGCTTCGCGAACTCATTCGAATAAATGTAGGTTTACACGTTTGTACCAAATTTCATCAAAATCGGATCAATTTTGCTGGAGTTATCGCGCTAACGGACACATATATAAATAAATATATATAAAATATATATATATACAAATTTATATATATATATATATAAATATATATATATATACACACATAATATATATATATGAATTGAACAGATGGTGTTTTTGGCCTCTGGGTAGTGATGTGGGCCGGGTAAATACCCAGTGGGTAGGTAAATATAAATTGGGTATTTACCCGGGTATTTACCCCAGGCCTGGGTAAATACCCAAAAACTGGGTATTTATAATTTTTATTAAAGTTAGAGAAGATTGAGATGTTTTTTTGCAATTATTACCCTGTAAGGATAGTAAAATGATGATAAAATGTGTTAAACAAAATTTCATATGGTCACTACTAGCATTTTACTTCTGTGTATACTCGCCATAAATACCCGTCTGAGCATAAAGCATAATCGGCATAAATACCCTGGTCGCATGGTTGCACTGGTCCTGACTACTTATGATTTTTTAAGTCGGCGCGGCTCAAACTGCAAATATGATTGAAATTAAATATTGTGTGTGTATTTTGAAAATCAATAAATTGTAGCTGGATAACATAAATATATCAAAAACATACTGAACTGTTTTGTTGATATATTAAAGGGAATATTTTCTTGTATTTTATGTTTACTTCAGAATAAATGCATTATGAAAATAACACACACAAATGTTCTATATGAATAGGAAAATAATTTAGTTTGATATTATGATAGGGAAAAGAAGCTAGTTTAGTATTAAAACGTTACTTTTCCAAGTTAGAAAAATTTCAATGCGTTATAATCTTTTTAAAGATACACGTTAATACAACTATAAAGCCGATCTCTGATTACGGTAATAAAATAACACTTAACGCATAACTATGAAAAAGACATGCAGATTAACACCTTTAGTTATAGATAGTCACCTGCAATATGGACACCCTCTTTCAATTTTGTATAAAAAATCATCATAAAGCCGCGCCGACTTAAAATACGTGAGCTTGCCTAATACAAAGTTTACTTTATTGAAATTATTTCATTCTTTTTAGAGCGTTTGAAGTCGGTTGTATTTTTTTACAAAAAAAATTATATTGAAAATGAATAAAAAATGATTTTTAAAGTAATAATTATTATTTAGAAAGACAGGAAAATTTAACATAGTAGTGGCCTATGTGTAAACAACTTAAGAAAATAATTAAAATTCAATCTGTAGGATGGCAGAATTTAATAATATTTTTGTTCTAGATCTTTTGTTGGTATCAATGGTATCAAAATAAAAAAAACTAATTTCATAAACTTGTGATACAAAACATTTGAATCTATAGGCCCAGTAAATCTTTCAACAATTTCTGGATATTTATAAATTAAAATAATTATGTTTATGTTATTTAATTGGTTATAAATTTATAAAATGATAAAAATTGAAATAGCCACAGCCTTTTTTAATAGGCTATTTTTTAGTAAGTTAAATTTTAACTGATGTTACTTGATTTAAGACACGAAACCCCATGCTTATTTAGAAAATGTATGTATTCTTCAAAAAAAGGTGCTAAATCATTAAATAAAAGGTACTAGCAAAGCTTCAAGCTACTGTAGGCCTAAAAGGTGTTATAGACTATCCTAATTTATCATGTAATGATAATAATAACATATTTAGGGGTATATATAAATGAATTTCAATTGATTTCATAAATACCCAAAATACCCGGGTATTTATGGATTTTGGGTATTTACCCGGGTAAATACCCAGGGTATTTACCCCGAGTTTTAAATACCTGGGTATTTTACATCACTACCTCTGGGGACCTCAAAACAAAAAAGTAAATCGGTCCCGGGTCTAGGTCTTACCATGAGACCTACGGTAATAGCTTATTCCCTATAAGGGAAATTCGCTAATAGTCCTCTCTGGTGTTTGTGTGAGAGTAGTTTTGGTTTACAATTTCTTTGTTGTTAGGCCTATTTCAAAGCAGTTTTTAGTAAAAAACTATCTATTTATCAACAATAGCTTGCACTCTGGTTTTACTTCCAGTAGAGCACAGATGATATAATTAACCATAAAATAAGGGGAAAAAATTTTGTTTGATAATAGTGCTTAACGCTCCTCGAACATACATAAAAAACGAGCATAAATTTTACAGTGGTATGAGAGGTTTACTTGTGTTTGTTAATCTAAGTAGAAATTCTACTACTAGGCCTATTACCGAGGTTAGGGTGTATCAATTTGAAATAAAATTGACTCTAATAGCTCAATACACTTGGTAAACAAACTCTGTAGATTTGATGATTAAAGTACAATAATTAAATCACCTATACAGTTCTGGGATTTCATCCTGAATGGAGTCTTTAATCTTTTCAGTTGCATTGTTCAGTCTGATTCTGTATTCCTTTTAATGACCAGAAGGCCTAGTGATTATTAAGTTGAATAAGTAGCTTCATTTTATTATTTTTTAATTACTTAGCTTTTTTGGCTCATGTAACACAATCATGTAGGCCTGAATAAACTTTGTTATAGGTTAGGTATACCTTGAGGTATTAATGCCTACAAGATACAGTTGTATGCAAGAATTAATAACCAGAATTAATTAGTGTATTTTTTACTTATCGTTTGAATTAGACTAGTAAGGTTGATTTAATATGGGATGATTTAGAATTCTTTTGGCAATCAAGTGTTTTTGGTATTCAGAAACCCTTCCAATCAGGATAAGTCTCAAATTATCAACTTATGTAACAACATATGAAAGTTAATACTATGTATGTATATGTTAAGAAGTATATTTTACTTGTATTTCAGTTAATTAATGAATGACATTTAGAAACATTTTTCTTGTTTCTCTGGAATTTGGATAAAACTTAACCGTTCATAGGGTACGTATCCTTATTACAAAGTTTTAGTCGGTTGTACATTTTTATTCACTTATATTATGTTTTATTACTTTTTATCTTAGGATGAAGAGGATGAGAAGGAAAGTGCAGACGAATTGATTCATCGCTTTTTCATCAACTGCCTGAGCTCAACTTCCTGCCAGAATTTCTTGCCTGATATTCTTAAGGTGACTGGACAACTGTTGTTTTTTACTTAAAATTAACCTAATGTATATTTCTACTCCTATATTATTCATATTGTATTTTTTTTTTTTTATATTTACCCTTCTCAGGATTTCTTTCAACACATTGTAAAATTTATTTTGATCAATTACAGCTGAAGATGTATATATTTTGATTCTCGACTTGGGAAAACGTAATGGTTGTCAACAATAATCCAACCAACCTCTAAAATGTTGAATTGTGCCTAAAACTCTTGCAGTAGAATGTTACTTAAACATTACTCAATTGTTTGTGTTTGAGGTATTTGAGGTAGAATTAAAATAGAAACTCTGGAATTCAACTTAATTCTTAAGACCCTCAGAACAGGTGTAAACTCCACCACCTAACAAAACAATTTATACAGTATACCTTCAATAGTTCGACACTCGATAGTTCGACACTCATTGTAGTTCGAGACGGGCTGAGGCTACCCGTCTAAACATTAGCGATCGATTTTGTTTTTACGTATACGCCGGTCAATGACCGGGACCAGTTCTTTCCAGTTATCAGAGTGAAAAACAATCGAAGCTCACAAAATAGTTTATCAAGTGATATTTAATGGTTAGTATTGTGATGTAAGTTGACTTAGCTTTTTATATAAACGAGGTGTAAGCCCGTCCTTCGTACGGGAATTCAGTAGTCAGTTAAAACCGTGTACAATTCAGATCAGCTAGTTTACAATAAAACAGCAATTCTGCAATTTTTACGATGTGAAAAGCGTTGAAGTGAGATTTGCAGCCGATTCGCACAGACGCACACTGATACACTGATTCAGGGCTGAGCGAATAGTTCGAAAAACAAATCGAATCCGAATCTTTTTAGAGATTCGATTCGGATTCGAGAACGAATCTACTGTTTCTAACTGGATTCGGATTCGGAATGGATATTCAAATTTACTGGTAAGAGATCCGGGTTCGGATTCGATATTCGAATTTCTTGGAAATAGATCCGAGTTGGGATTCGATATTCAAATTTACTAGTTTCTGATTGAATATAATTTTTTAGACACTAAAAAACTACTTGTGCACTACGATTTGCTGTTGACTGGTTCATGTTAGGAACCTGACCAACTTGGTGTTAGGCTTTAGGCTCATTAGTCTAGGTCGCATTTGAACCCTATCTTGGCTATCAGTAAACTTAACCTCACAGTGTGAGTTGTTACTTGTAATAGTAATGCAGACATAGGCTTGGGTGGAGGATTAACACCGAGGTGTATAATAGGCTGGGCCTATGTTTTAGACTACACAAATTGGTAGTCCATCACTTTTAGTGAGTAACTTAGGCCTAGGTGGTAGGCCTAACTATGCCCAATTTTTTAGTTTCAAAACTTCAAATAGGTAGGCCTAAATTTTATAACTTTTTTATTTGGCCCATTTCAAGAATTTTTTTAAGCAATTCACTAAGTTAATTTAGCCCCAGAAAATGTGGTCTAAAAATGTGAAAATTGGTACTGCTGACTTTCCTCGGATTCGGATTCGACTCTGAACAGGTTTAAATATTCGGATTTTATAACAGCTTTAAATTTCAGATTCGGATTCGATCCGGGTTCGATAATGGCTGTAAATTTGAGATTCGGATTCGACCCAGATTCGACTCGGGAGTAATTAAAATATTCGGATTCGATCCGGATTCGATAAAATCTGTACAGCTATGATTCGGATTCGGATTCGAACCAAAATTTCTGGATTCGCACAGCCCTGCACTGATTATAAGTAGCCTACAGTAGAGAGAGTAATAGTCAATTGAGAAGTGTATAGACCTAGTCAACGATACCACCTTCCATCGTATACCTGCCTCTTCTATAATTATTATCACCACAATACAACTACTATACACAATTTCCAGTAGGTCTGAATAGAAACGACCTAAAATAAAACAATAATATCCAATAAAATTCACAGTACACATAATTTAACTTTGGTGTCCTAACATCAAAACTAATCGTCACACATATCCTTTATATAAATTTCACTGCATTAATTGCTAAATAAATAAGTGTAAATAAAGAAAAGTAAAAACAATAACAGTTTGTTTTGAAACAGCTGTTTGGTTCAAATAACATTCATTTGAAAAAAAGAACTGGTCACATGTAGCAGGAATATAAAAAGTAAACACGCTAGTAAAACTAATGACGTAATTGTCAATGTTTATTATCCAAACCGTTATCAGTTCTATCCTTGATAATTACCCACCCTCATTGAATAAATGTACATTGTAATTTCCCATATTAGTTAATTTAAACTACAATAGTTTAGTACATAGTTGAAATAAAAGTGATATTTTCACGTTTGGGGGCGCTGATATAGGCACCCCCAAACGTAACCACAACTGAACAAGATTCCATAAAAGGATGCGGTTTGTCTAATTGCAGTATCCTAGGTCAATGTTGACGTTGTGTTCAATCTATGTCATCCATCTGTTTATCTTTTTATAAAACCCGGCTGAGGTTGTGGTGGTAATTTAAAATCGTGATTCCTGATTATTCTTGATCTTCTTTTTATGACATCAATATTTCCGGGCCTAATCCAAACAAAGTTAAAAAAGCAGACAAACATTAATTGTAAACAAAAAGCTACCGTGAAGAATTAAAACATGTAAACATTGTTATTTTTCTATTCTTTCCTTGAAAAGTGGAGCAGTAAAATAGTTTGCATTTATCCTTTTTTATTAAGACTCGTGTACAGAGCCTCGATTTGTACTGTGGTTTAATTAATTTTGGTCCTAACTATTTTAAACTGTGGTCTAATTATCTCTACTAATCTTACTTATTTCCTATAATCAATGACAAAATAAGAGGAAATAAAATAATATCATAGTTCCATAGTTTATATTTAAGAGGGTTCCCTACCCCCGCCTAAAAACGTTAGAAAACCGCTTCGCGCGGTATCATATAGCGATTCTAGTTTTTAAAGTTCACTAACTTTGACAAGTCGTTGCCCTTGATTGCGTAAGCATAGACATTTTAGTGAACTTTAACTGTAAAGTTCACTAACTTTGACAAGTCGTTGCCCATGATTGCGTAAGCATAGACATTTTTTAAAAAGCAAACTTAGTAGAACCACTCTTTATGTACAAAATGGTGTTTGGTTCACAATTTAAATGTTAAAACTAGAATCGCTATATGATACCGCGCGAAGCGGTTTTCTGACGTTTTTCGGTGGAGGTAGGGAACCCTCTTAACCAGCTGTGAGTTAAAACAAATTATATTGCTCTAAAACAAATCGAAGATTACAAAGATTGCTGTAAAAAATAATTTGAACATCCTAGTATTTTACTATGTATATTTAATTAATCTGTCATCCTCATACAGAAGAATTGAACGTATCAATGATTAGCATTACACATAGTATAAATAAGTCAACCCTAAGTATGTATTTACATTTTTATCCAAATGCTGAATTTGTGACACAAAAGCTGAATGTTTACAGCTGTTATGTTAAGCAAATTATTTTATGCCTAAAGCTAGTTTAGAATTTTAGCGTCGGCTGCTAGACTTTTTAAAAATTAAAACTTAATTTCTAAAAAACTGGGACCCTAAACTAAAATTATGGCTTCGACATTCCCTAGTTCTCAAAATTAACTTTCTTTCAACACAAAAATCATGAAAATCCGTCGAGTGGTTGATTCAGAATCGTGAAATAAAAAAACACGGTTTCGTTTTAATATTATAGATTTGGGTGATTTCTATATAAAACTTGTATTTTTCCACAACCAGGACATCCTACGAGAAAAAAGACTGTGCAACTGAAAAATGAGCTAGTTGCTAGAAAATGTTATGTATTTATTTTTAAATGTTTATCTATTTTCATCAGTAAAGTAATTCTGCTGTTAAAGCTATCCACCACTAAATCCTTAAAAGTTGATATCTCTGTCCAGGAAATGTTGAACCACAATCTGCCCATCAACAACGCTTGCGCAGTTATGATCGAGAACAAACTTCAGGGAAAACAACTAACACCAGAGGTATCGGAACTGTTAGCCAAGCTGTCTTCTGGTCAAATCATATCTCAACCACTCAAGTCTTCAGGCAGCGGTACTGTTGTTAGGGTGAGTGGATTAGTATTGTTTATTCATCCACACCCACTGTAGTATCACTAATCGCTTAGCTTATACAGAGTTGTACTTAGTGAGCATATTTAAGGTGAATAAAAAGGCAGGGATTCTGTGTAGTTTTTTATTACTTAGCCATATATACTTAGATTAGCTGATTCTTTACCATTGATTAAAATGGCCATGGATGGCTGGGTCCAGTTTCTAACAATCAAAAAGCATTTTCAGGACTAAACTAGGAACTTTGATTTGTATTCAACCTTTACAACCATTCAGCTACTTAAAATTACAATACTTAATTAAAATACTTGTTCTTATATTTTGTCGCCAGGGACTGAAGCTGCTCTTTTTGACGCAAAGTTTAGTTATACTAGTGGTTTTAAATTGAAGTTAGCTTGAAAAAACTGTTTTGACCCGCCAGATGAATTATCTTTTTTTTTAAGCTACAATATTTTTGAACTTAACCTCCGGTGATAAAAAAAAAAATTTATTCTTTGTAAATCAAAATTAGTTCACTATATTATCTCTTTTTTGTATTATAAATAATTAAATAAACAGCCGTTGCCATTTCAAGAAAGTCAGATGCAACAGCTTTTAAGTTGCTAAAGGCAAGAAATTAAATTTAATTGTGTGAAACCTCGGTCTGACAGTCCCACGGGAATTTTCACAAACGCATTATGGCAACACTGTTTACTTGGGAGATTCCATTACCCCAATACCTTCCCCCCTTTTCCTCCCCTACCTATTGAAATACTGTTTCTTCATTTCGCATGGGTGCCGTGACCTTAACAGGATGTCTGTTCATAACATGCCCGTCTCAGACGCCCAGCGTTAGTGTATTTTTAAGCGGGGTCTCATAGGCCGAGGGTTTCGATTTGTTTGTTTCTAAGGGGGGTCCATAATTTTTCAAATGGGGTCTCATAGACTGGGGGTTTTGGTTAACGTCACCCTAGGTAGGGTTTCGGTATTAGTGTTAAGTTTTCTGACATATTTTTACATTTAAATTTAAATTAGTCTTAGTTCTTTTAGTATCAAATCAATTATATAGTGTTTAATACAATAGCATATGCAATGCAAAACTATGATAAACACAAATAAAATTGTGTAATGCTACTATATTTATTAATCAGTACTGTTTTTAGTACAGTACTCTGACAAAGTTTACCATAAGAAAAGTGTGTAGCTGATGTCCGTTTGGACAACTATATATAATTAATAATTAAGTCATTTTTATACATGTTAAAATGACATGTTCACATGGAATGTTGTGTCCTATCTGTATAAAAATTATTATATTTCATTGTATTTTTACAGACACCTGAATCATTATTGAGAGTCAAAGAAAAAATGAAAGCAAGCAACGAGCCAAATGAAAGGTTGATAGGTATTAACCGTTCTTTGTATCTAATGTACTGCCGTGCAGGAGATGTTGACAACGCTCTGGTAATAAAACAGGTAGGTTGCTTTAGTGAAGAAGGCCAGTTTTAATCTTGTCGTAATGAGATAGACTACATCTTGTGTGAATCCATTTGGTTCAGTATTTGGACGGTTTCAACTATTGTAGGTTACAATCACAAAGTTTTGGTTGGTTTAAGGGTAGGTTTCCTGGGTTCTCCTTAGAGATGGGCCGATTCCTGAATTGGTCGATTCCGATACCGATTCCGATTCTACAACTTTGGTTTCGATTCTCGATTCCGCACTCGATACCGATACCTGTTAAAAATTCATTTAATAACACATATAACTTATGAACTTATGATAAAGCCTAACTTTATTTAATCTTTAAATACAATAAGATAACTGCATTGAATTTATTAAGGTTACATAGATTAGGTTAGCCAAAAAGGAAAAAATAAGATATGGCTATTTCAAGAAGACATGAATTTTAACATATTTTATTAAATTAATAATTAATTGATGATAATAATTAATTGAGCACAATCACCAATTTAGGTACCGGTAGGCCTAAAATGTTCACAGAGTTTTTTTTTCATAAGAATTCATAATTCGTACATCTAGGCCTAGGCCTACAATGAATGTTCCATATTGCTTGAGTTATAAACTCAAAGTCATCTTCAATATTGTCATCATCAATATCACTTAAATTACTTAAAGAATCATATAAAAAAGTCATGGAGTTCGTCACATCACTAGAACGGAGTCGGAGATAATATCCATTTTGAACAACTCAAACTCACTATGCACGCACAGAAAACAAAACAAACAACAAAAAACCAAAACATAGGTTAAACAATTCATTTGCCATTTGCAAACTCGTGACGACGTGACAGCTGTTTCAGTTCAGTCATAGAGAAACAACATAAAAAAACCGATAAAAATACATCGCTAAATGGCTTTCTACAATAGTCACCATGAAGCCCTGAATTAGCTGAACAGTTCGTGGGGTCTCATATCTTATAATGTCATAGCTTATAATCGTGAATTTGTTCCATAGCTTATAATCAGTTATAAGCTATGCCACACTTTCACAAAAAATTATAAGCTATGCCACAATTTGGAGTTAGAAAATGTGAGTTAAACCATTGACTATATACACCTTATGTGTATTATATGTATATATTAAATGCTTGTACCATCTGGCAACATTGCCTTTGATCTGACAACATGGCGGCAACTAGAGTTCTGATAGGCCTAGTTGTCTTGTCACTGTTGTCAAATGAACACAGCTCGTCCTACCCATTGCTACTCGTTCTGAAATGCAATGGCAATCTATTTTGGATTATAAAACTATTACGAATGTGAGATAATGAACTTGTAATTATTTATATTAGCTGACTTCAGAGTATTTCAAATAAACTATGATGTGCCACTCTTTACAACCTTCAATGTCAGTTGAGTTTAGCATTATTAATTAACCTCACTTTTCAGAATCGGTATCGAGTACAATGAAGCAAAGTATCGAGTATCGGCGATTCTTCGATACCACTGGTATCGAAGGTATCGAGGTATCGAGAATCGGAATCGGCCCATCCCTAGTTCTCCTACAAATTTTTTTAGCCTAATGTATAAGTCAATTGATTAGTAGTTGGCTGTTGATTCAAAGTTAGGGTGAGGTGGAGGGGATAAAATCACTTTCCCTCAATCAGCGTAATTTTTGAATGGAGTATAGTGATGGTCGAAACTAGAAATTTCAAATCTCAAAACCAAGACCAAAACTTTAAAAAAATAAAATCCGGAATTTTCAATTTCAAACTGCTATTTTCTTTATAACAAGTACCCCTTTGCGATTTTATAACATTTGTTATTTCTCAGGAGTTAAATGAAGAATACAAAGAAGAAACTACTCCTGGTATGTGGGCAGCACTTCTTGAAGCTTATTGTTCCAAGAACGACCTGGAGGGAGCCAAAAGTTGCTTGAAGAATATTCAAGCCTTGAGCGAAACTTTCGAACTTGATGCTGATAAAATCTTAAAGCTGGCTAAGCTTTATGTAGAAAACAACCAAATAGATGGTAATCCTATACTATAATAAGAACTATGTCTGTTTGTCTATCTGCCTATAATATATATCTCAAAATCCAGCAGAAGGATTTTGACCAAATTTTGGATTTAGAGACTTATAGCCCTAAAAACGTGTTTAGTGACAGCCACTAACTCAGGAAAATTCTTATTTTGCAACACAACTTGTTTAAAAATTTTATATTGGCCTTATGGGTAGCCAAGTAACTCTGTTGGTTGAACAAAATAACAAATAAAAAGTAAACAAAAGACTTGAAACGTGTTTATAAAAAGCCATCCACCGTATACTAGCAAATTATAAAATACTGTATAAAATGATAAATATCAGTTAGTCGTAATTATTGAGCAATAGAGCAAGTCAGTGTTAAAAGTGATGAGTGTTTTGTGTTGGTGCCGTTTGAGTGCACTAAACTCAATGTTTCATTCTTATTTAAGGGTATATTTTAAAAACTTCATGCACTCTTTTAGCGAATTTCCCTATAGGGAAGTAGCTATTACCGTAGGTGGCACGGTAAGACCTAGACCCGGGACCGATTTACTTTTTCATTTTGATGTCCCCAGAGGCCAAAAACACCATATATATATACGTCCGTGAACGCGATAACTTGAGTAATTTTTGTCCGATTTTGATGAAATTTTGTTTAAAGGTGTAAAGCGAGATAAACTTGAATGAGTTAGCGAACCAGCACGATCGAACCATGGGAACGGGGCTTTACGGGGGGTTTTATGGGTTAAAAATTGGTTTTTCTCACTTTTGACCCTCAAAACACAAAATTTCCCGATTTCTCTTTAGACCTTTTTAAAGAGCTTAAAAAAACAAATAATTAAGTATATAAAAGAATTTTTGTTCGATTATTAGTAACGGAGAAAATTAAAAAAATTGTAAATTTAAAATTCCCATGTTATTCTTATGGAGAATATTGTCAAATGTTGTAGTTTGCTTGTTTATGGATATATTTTGATCAAACTTGGCAAATTTATTTATTTTGTACTAAAGGCCTTTTCACACCGGCGTACTGGACGTACTGTACGTTTGGTACGTTTTTCTTTCAACAAATCCCTGCCCATGTTATCATATGAGCTCGTTCACACCGCGCGTACAGAACGTACTGTACCTACAGTACGTACGCGATGGTTTTGTGTGAATCGCTCGGAGAGCGATTTTTCTAAAACGTACGTGGCGTACATGGGCTCGCTCATGCGCAGTGAACACTTCAAAACCACGTGCTCAGCCAGTGTTACTTGTCTGACTGCAAACGAACAAGTCTTCGTTTTGGAAGTTTCTGTGCGGTGTGAAAGGACGGCGTACAGTACGTACTGTACGTACTGTACGTATAGTACGCCCAGTACGCCGGTGTGAAAAGGCCTTAAGCTATCAATATTTTACTCAAAAACACACTTTATTAGTTTCCTTGTAGCAGCAAACCTAGGTACTCGGACTCGTTAAACCTAATGTTCTTAAAATCAATTCAGACAAATGGAAATTCGCTTAGTCGGCAGGTTTGCTGCGGCGGGGGTATTTATATTTTACATAGTTTGGACAGCTGTAGGGCCTATTAATAATAAGTTGAAATTCCACTGGAACTTAAATAACAAAAGCCAAAATTATTTGTAAAAACGTGAGTTTCCTTTATATTGCTTTTACAATCAAAATAAACTCTACCGAGCCATGGCTCCCCCACCTGGTACTTATATCTGATTAGTGATCCCTGCTAAGCCCCTGTTGTTGCAAATCAAAAGCTTGACTCGTTCATTAAATTACATTTTCCCATTTTTATTTTAACAAGACTCGGATCTGTTGTTACTGGTTTTGTGATGGAAACTATCAGCCTCGATGAACTACATTTAGAAAATTATAACAGAGTATAGAATCATCTTAACAGATACTTGTTAGTCCAATGATATTCAATGAGACATATAATATAGCATTCATATGTAGATTTTTAATTTAAACATGTGTATACTGTTTAGTGTGCTTGTTTAGCTAGTAACATCCTCTGCTGTCATCAATACATTATTATTGTCATTATAGATACACGGTAAAAGTGTGCGTAAGTGATAACAAAATATTTGACAGATATTTGGCAGCTGTGTGTATTATAAGCAGCTCTGTCTAAGGGCCCTTTCACACGAGGCCACTGGTGTCCTACTGGTGGTGGCGGTGTCCGCCACCAGTTACCGGCCGGGAAACTGCAGTGGATGGTACAGGCAACTTACAAGCCACTATACTACAGCCACTGTACTGTTAGTTGTGAAATGTGAAAATGCTGTCAAACAATGAACATCTCCTTCTTCTCGCGTTGATAATAAAGAAAATAAGGCAAAGACACAGGCGTACTATACCAAATAGCCGGTTACTTTTCAATTTCGCAAATTAGATCTTCAGTATCCACTTTGTTTTCTATTATTTTGTTTATTCTCTTCTTCTGTTGTTTTCCTTTGTCTTTTTCTTTTTCAGCAACGTCCTCTTTATTTTTCTTCTGATCACTCATTTTCACAAACAAACAATTCAACACGAAAACACTCAACAACTACAACCATAGTGCGTTTGTCTTTGCAGTCTGTACGTGAACTGATTCAAAATAGTAGCTGCGTGCTCATCCACGGTGGCGGCCACTGGTTGCTACGTGTGAAAGCTCCCATATAATTCAATGCTCCCCGACGAGTTGCCACTGCAGTTGCCGGCGGTGGCCGACTAGCAGTTGCGCGAGAAGACACTGCTCGGCCACTGTGTAGTGGCGGCCACCGGTGGCCTCGTGTGAAAGGGCCCTAAGTGTATCCACAGACATTGTTGGTGACTCAACTAAACTACCTGTTCTTAAAATGGCTGCAAATTAAACATGGATATGTCTAGTTGTATCTATTATCAAGAAGGTAGTCCCCAGGTAACTGAACTGAGGTGATTTTTAAGAGAAGTAAAACCTTTTGCCAATCTTACAATACGTTGACACCTCTGTTCTCATGGTACTACAGTGCTTGGCTAAGTTAACTGTTGATTGGTTTGGTTTTTTTCAGAGGCCACAGCACTGCTCAAATCAGTGAAACCAAGAGAAAGGGAAGCGAAGGAAGATGGATTTCAGTCTCGTATCAAGGCCTGGAATCTGCTCCAGGCTGTAGTGGATACCTACAAGGATCCTGCTGCTGTTAAGCAGATGTTGGAACTGCTAAAGGAGCAGAAATATATTGAAGTCAACAATATCATGTTGGGAGCAGTTGTAAAGGCGCATCTGGTTAGGTGAGCTTAGATACAATGTTTTTGGGTGCCTGACAAATATTTTCTTAGTCAAAGTTGTTTGTCACATTCGTTCCCCTTACTTATGATTTGTGAAAATCATATAACAAAATCAATGCCAATTGCATTTAGTGTTTTAACTTTAACATGTTTGTTTCATAAAAAAAAATTGGCTTACCAAAATAGAAAATATGTTTGAATTGGTAAAGAAACATGTAACAAATAATAATATTTGTGAGGAGGTAATTTTTTAAATGGGAAGTCAGTAAACTATCTTATAGGTTATTTAAAGCTCCTAAAATATTCTCAAAATTGTTATAGCTTTAAAAAAACCAATACGTATCTTTTATTTTTGAAAACACTTATGCATTTTTTAATCTCATCTAATCATTTAATCTATTTTGACACTGGACTAAGTTTATGACGTTTTACCCTACTCATTTTACCTGCATGAACTTTCAAACAATTTATAGAGTTAAGTCCATAGCACATTTGTAAATAAAAATTTTGTTGAGATTGATTTTTAATTTGTATTAAAAAACCCCAAACAGGATTATTGTACTGATTACTCAGCATTTAAGTGATTTTAGCGAATTTCCCATATAGGGAATAAGCTATTACCGTAGTACTCACGGTAAGACCTGGACCCGGGACCGATTTTTTTTTTCGTTTTGAGGTCCCTAGAGGTCAAAAACACCATCTGTTCAAATTCATATATATATATATGTGTGTGTCCGTTAGCGCGATAACTCAAGCAAAAATGATCCGATTTTGATGAAATTTGGCACAAACGTGTAAACCTACGTTTATTCGAACGAGTTCGCGAACCAGCATGATCGGACCATGGGAACGGGGGTTTATGGGGGCTTTTATGGGGTAAAAATGGGTTTTTCCCATTTTTGACCCAAAAAACATAAAATTTTGCAATTTCTTTCGAAACTATTTTGTAGAGCTTAAAAAAACAAATAATTTAGTATATTGAAGCGTTATAATGCGCCTAATGGTTCCGGAGAAAATTCAAAAAAATTGTAAATTTAAAATTCCCATGTTATTCTTATGGAGAATAAGTAAACTGTTGTAGTTTGCTTGTTTATAAACATATTTTGCCCAAATTTGGAAAATGTTTTTATTTCTTACTAACTAGGTATTAACATTTTACATAAAAAACAATTTTACCCTCCCTGTTGCAGCAAACCTAAGAATGTTTTAAACTGATTCTATTTAAATAGGGAATAAATGTGATATTTTTAAGGAGACATTTTAGTGTAAATTCGCTTAGTCTGCGGGTTTGCTGCGGCGGGGGTATTTAATATCTTGTAAATACAACAGCTCTTTATGAGTTAGGTAGAAATACCTAAAATAGCGTCCTGGAACCCACAGATTAATGAATAAAATGTTTTATTTAAATTAATAACAGAATTTATTGCGTCTCATATGTCCTTTATTCCTTATTGTAAGTTTTTTAAGAGTTAAATAGGCGTACTTGCAAGGAAGAACATAATAAAAACGTTTTAGATTCGCATACAGCTATGTATTGTGTATTGACATTTCATGTGTTTATTTTTTTTATTTTATGTGACAAATAAAGATTTGATTTAATATTTTGAAAGATTAAATAACCTTTGTTTTACTGCAGGGATGACCTTATGGGTGCCTTAAAAGAATTTGAGGAGTGTGTAAAGCTGCATCGGGCGACTCCGTACAAGAATGAACTGACCATAAAGTTTATTGAGAAGGAGGATGCGGCCAACCTACAGACTATTGTGGACTTGAGCACTCAGGTCCATGGAGAGATCAACAGCCTGTATGACCTGGTGCTAGCGTTCATAGAGTGCGGAAAGATCAGGCAGGCTCGCAAAATTCTGGAGGTATGATATGATCAAGCTTAGTCTGATAATCTAATAGTAATTATTGAAATTTAGTTTTTTGACTATCCCAGCAAGAGAATTGGGACAATTCAATTAAAATGCAAATATTAAGTATCTAATGAATCGTCTTTAGGCAACAGAAATTATAATGTAATTGCATAACTACTTGACCCAAATTTTTACTATTTCTACTTGGAACTACTAATTTTTATTTAGTTAAAACTACTTGACTTATCAAGAACTGATAATATAATAGCAATATAAAATTTTTGTCAACATCAGAGAAGTTAAATATGGAGTACCCCAAGGGCCAATACTTGGACAATTATTCTGCTACTTTAGCGACGACTAAAAGTTTTAATCGTTTACATATTATACATCTTAGAAATTACAATGTACAATGTTTGTTAATAATAATGTATTGCTTGTATTACAAACAAATATATCCACAGCTACAATAGGTACTAGGAATTCAATAAACTATAAAGCAATATGATCAAATCATATAGGTACTAGAATTGTTTAAGAGAAAAACATTGTCCAATGGTGTCAGAATCATAAACAACATACCAGATAACATAAGAAGCATGCAAGATGATTGAGGTTTAAAGTGAAATATGAATAGTATTTTTATCAAAGGCAATTAATTTAATTGATGACTTTAAAACATACAGTAGGCGAGATTTTAAAAATGTATAAAATAGCGTTAACATGAAGTACTGTAGTACGATTAGTAGTAGCCTACTGTTGTTGTACATTTTAAACAATCGTTTACATATTAACTTGTTTGACACTATCTATGTGAATATGTAAGCCGATGAACAGATGTGAATAAAGATTTTTTGATTTGATACTCTCAATAACCCTTACAAAATCTCACTTCCTAAGCTTGTATTGTGCTCCAATCTCTTTCCTATTGTTTGTACTTTGTTAATTTTTAATTTGGAAATATAGCCTCTGGACCATTATTGAACATGATTAAATCTAAGACTTACCTTACGATCCAATTTTATTATAGTGGAGGCCTAGGTTTCTACGTCAAAACGTTATCGTCAGTCCTTTGTCTCATAGTCTTGCTAAACCTTTTGTTTGCCATCTCTTACTTGAGACATTGTCGATATAGCATAATTTGTACAAACATTGAACATATATAAATATTTACAAAGACATATATTAAAACAACGTAGATGCATGGCCATCATCTTTATCAAACATAACCTCCCGAGGTAGAAACCTAGGTCTCCACTATAATAAAATTGGATCGTAAGGTAAGCCTTAGATTTAATCAAATTTTTAATTGTTATTAATATTAATTTATTTCCCTACGTGTTACCTACAGACTCCAGGCCTGGGGAGACGAAGCAACCGCATCTCGTTGGCATGTGAACGTTACAAGAAGGACGGGAAAGTCGAGTATTTAGAAGCCCTTGTTGAAGCCACCAAAGATGTGGCGCTCATTGACAGATCAGAAATATACAGCAAACTGCTAGACACATACTGTAAGTGCTCTAAAGTAGTGATGTGACGAGTTGAGTTGGCGAGTCGAGTTGACTTGAGTCAAGACCCGAGTCGAGTCAACTCGAGTCATCTCAATTACAACTCGAGTTGGTACGAACTCGTACGGAGATTGCCGAAGCTACACGAACTCGTAACGTAACGAGTCCGACTCGCAAAACGAAACCGAACTCATACGGAGAAAGCCTAACCTACACGAACTCGGAACGTTTCGAGTCAACTCGACTCGTAAAGCTGACACGCTATTGGCCGGTACCGAGTCGGCCGACTCGCAAAACTAACGAACTCGTACGGAGAATGCCGAACTCACACGAACTCGGAACGTCTCGAGTTGAGTCTGACTCGACTCGTAACTCGAGTTCACGGCAGTTGGCGAGTCGAGTCACTCGAGTCAGGAAAGTACCCGACTCGGCACATCACTACTCTAAAGTTTTGTTTAGTCTTTTAACAAAAAGTATTTGAAACAGGTTGTGAACAATTTTGGTAGCCTATGGCTTTAAGTAGAGATGCAAAGAATTTCCCCGTTGTCTGAGAGACCTGTCTTTTTTGTTTTCTAGGGGGGTAGACCTACTGCATAAGGTGGTTTTTGAACCACTGGGTCATTATCTGTTGAATGCGTGTTTCTCTTCTATGTTTTAGAGAGTGGAATAAAAAGAGAAACAGAGTAATAGAAAAAAAATACCGAGGTTATATGAGAAATAGTGAGTTACATTATTAAGATTTTTTTTCTGATTAGTGGAAGATTAAAAGTGTTTAGAAATATTGGAATCATTTTCAGGACGTAATTTAATAAAATTTCCAAAGAGTTTATTTCTTGCTTAAGTTTCTGCCACTGTGTTTGCTGCCACATCAATTAATGAAAAGTTAACATTAGTTCTGTGGTTCCCATTTGTTATTTTATTAAAACCTCAAAACTTGATAGGATAAAAAAGGGAAAACTTTATTTTGCTGTAATGTTTGAAACCAGCTATAAATTATCAGCAAACATTTAAATGAGGACTAATATTTGTGTCTCATGCAGGCGAATCTGATGAAGTGGAGAAGGCTTTAGGATTGTGGACAAAAATGCAGGACGAGGATGTCAATGCTTCTGATGAATTTCTAATCAAACTTGGAAACTTTTTAAAAGAAAAGGGTCAGAATGTTCCTTTCAAAATACCAGAACAACCAACATACACTATCAAGAGAAAAGGTAATGATTAGCAAAGACTCTTAAGATTAATTACTTGTTTCATTAGTGTTAGCGATGATCTGTTTGCCTAATTTTTCAGCTTGAGTGTAAAAAGTGACAAAAACAATAACAATAATGCCAAAAATGACAGCAGTTTCAAACCAGAACTGCTAAACCTTAGATTTCAAAACTTTTGAATCTCGAAACCGAACCCTTATCTACAGTTTGAATGGTTTTGAGATTTGAGATTCGGTTTTAACACATCACTAATTTTTATTAAGTTGTAGATTGTGCTTCTAAAAAAATCTTAATTAAGACTGATATTATAATGATTATTTAAACCAAAAAGTCATGTGCTTCTACATATTTAGCTGTCTCAAACAGGGAGAATTACAAAGTATTCTTATAGGTGTTTAATCAAATTTGGTTGTTCAAGGCTAGCCAGGTGTTTAATACTACTTTTGTAATTTAAAAAGCCATCATAATATACTTATGTGGAAATGATAAAGCTTACATTGTAGAAATACTTTTGTGGTCGGACTTTGGTGAATTGTACTATTTTGGACCTGTAATGGTAGGACGTTTTGGGGAAGAATATAAATTGGAAACAATACCACTGATGGTATTACCTAATTAAGCCACTAATGAGAGGTTAAGATCGTGATCAGCAATTTGTTGTACGACCTACTGAATACAAGAAGTAGCACAAAGCTGCTTACACTCAGCAGCTTGGTTATCATCTGTTTATGGTTATCAAGTGATTAGTAGTATGTATCAGCTTATCATAATTCATCATCATCATCATCCTAGTAATACGTCATCATTATCATCAAACTTATATTTAATGCACAATTTTTCCATTACACAATTCAAAATGTTTCCAGGGTATGACACTGCCATCTAATAAATCACATTTACCGATACCTGAAATTAGTATGTTTTCATTTATTTTTCTAATCATCATTTTCTCTACTTTTAGGAGAGGCAGCCAAGGCCAACGAGAAAGGTACTTCACCAAGACAAGAAAGAATAAATAATCCTCCTTTACTTCAAGCTATTCAAAACAAAAATGTCGATGAAGCTTTGAAAATCAAGGATGAGTAAGTATCACATAACTGTAAAATTGGCAATAACATAAGCCTATTTTGTGCATGAAGACGGCAGTTATGCTATTTTTTGTCCTAGGACGCTAGGCACGAGTCGATTGTTTTTCACATTACTTCAGGCTAGACCTAGGGGTTGCGGCATTATAAATTAGATATAATCCGTTAGCGACTTGGCGGGGATCGAACCCGGGACCTCAGGGACTGAAGTTCCGCGCTCTAACCATTACGCCAGCTCCCTCCCCCACTGCAGTTAGCAGTGTTTGTAGCAGATATGCTATTAACATTGACAACAACGCTACCATTAGCTTGGTGGAGACAAAAATTGAAGGACAGTCTCTTTACTTTTTAAATTAAAAAATTAGACTATGTTACTGCTGGCTTAGGACTGATCCAGAGAAACTTACTTCCTCCCTCCGGGTGTATACAGTACTACAATAGTACTGTCACCTTCCGATGCCAACATTTCAGGAAAACAAATTAACTAAATTTGCGCTTTAGTTCAATTATTTATTTTAACATTGCTGAAATCAACTAATTAAAACATTCTTTTTAGGCTGGATGTCAAAGGCCAACGGTTGACCCGTAGAGAAGCCGGTGAGTTGTTGGAGTTACTTGTGGCTCAGAGCAGACTGAGGGATGCTACGGCATTTGTAACCTCCCTGTCAGTAGAGCAGATGCCGATTGTGAGGACCCTCAACTTTCTGATCACCAGGCTGACTGCCAAGGGAGAAACCGACCTGTTACAACGAGTCGGAGATCATCTCTCAGAGGTATGTTCAACTGAGTGTCATCATTAAGTGGTTCCCACTTTGTATCTTGTGAGTTCCTGAAATTGTGACAGCTTAAAAATAGTAAAGGTATCTGCCTTGCTTGCAGTGTAATGATCGTTTGATAAGTCATCCAGTGAGGACTTTGGCTTGACCATGCTGTTTTGAGGGTCGTTGAAATGTTCCTCTGTTTCATTTGTAAACTATCATTATATTGTTCAATGAACTTTGCAAAAAGTTTACCCGCTACTTCAAATGTTTCAAACTGAACCCGATATTGTATTTTATACTCTTTCACTCTTTGTAATAGAGAATCTTTCTTACACCCCCATGTGAATGTTTACTCTTGTCGGCAGTGAGTGTAGCCACAGTCCCTGTTCCCCACCCAATCAGCTCTGACCATGACAGAGCTCTTTCAAAATTGCAGCAAGGCCCATGTACGGCTCTTCAACTGGCTCTAACACTTTCGTTGACTAATAAGGCAGCTAGGTCTGGATAAGATTACCTGGGCTTCTACAGAGGTCCCTAGAGGTTTGAAATTACAATGTAGAAAGTACAAGAAGAACAAGCTTAGCTATTACCATAGACAAAAAGAATTAAATATAGACTGTCGGCCGTGCTGCGGTTGGTTACCATGGTTACCATAGATTCTGACGCACACCGCTGGGAGCGTCGTGTAGTTTACGTAGCGCGTACGCCATAACTACATGGCGCTCTCAGCGGTGTGCGCCAGAACCTATGGTAACCGTAGCACAGCTGACAGTCTATATTTAATTCTTTTTGTCTATGCTATTACGTTCTCAGTAGGCCCTACTCATTATCTTATGGTGAGGATTGAACAAAAAGAGACATATAACACTTGCCTGGACTGTAACATTTCCAAACAAGACATGAAGGATAAGAACACGTCAAAAGAGCAGTTATGCCCACCTCCATTTTAGTTGCAAAAAGCTTTATACTGGAGTAACTTATAAGTAACACCTCATTAATTGTCCCTTAGCTTGTTACAGGTTGATTAAACATATTAAATTTCCTAATTGCTTGTCACTTTTACAGGATCTCAAGAAAAGAACTTCCTTCTCAAACAGACTCTTAACTTCAGCAGTGGCTAATGGTAAAGCCAAGGAACAGCTGGATAAGATGGAGAAGGAAATAGATGCAGCTTCCAGTGATGATGACTTTGACAAATTAACTGGCAAGTTCCCCCGTGGTGGTATAATGGCTGTTCTGGAAAATTGCCCCTCGGATCATGATCAAGGTGATTTATTACCAAATAAGAATAAGAGGCTAAAACCGATACCTGTTTTAAATGTCAAGTGATCCTAATTTCAGGTTATGCAACCACTTTTTTGAGCCCACAGGCTCATTTTACAGTAGAAACAAAGTTGTAAAGTAAATCCCTCTTCATTGCGGGATTGCAACGAATCGTCACAAAATTCATTTAAACACACGGACACAAAAACATCACACATTCAAACAAATTTTGCCAAACTGAAGCCTTATTGATGTATTTTAAGGCTCAAGAACCTTGGTTTTAAGGATCTTTCTTGGTATCTCATGTTTGCCTGAATAAATAAAAGTTCACTCCAGCACAAAATTGTAAATAAAAAAATAAAAAAAATTAAAACTACACAATGATTATAGTACTGGCAGAAATTGTTAACCTAGAATGGTTTTTAGATAGGAAGAAAGCCATTGTTTATTAACCTATTTAAAGTTTTTACCATGCACTTTGGAATATAAATCCAACAATTTTCTTTCAGTGGTGAGGATTGTAGAGAAGTTTTGCAGCAAAGGCTACACCAGTCCCGCAAACTGTCTGGCGATGCACTACTTGGCGACGGGAGACAAAGAGAAAGCCCAACAGGTGTTTGAGAAGCACAATTTGAAAAACAGTTCTCAGCTGATGTTCCGCTCTGTGTTGTCCAAAGCAAGGGTTGCCCAGGACCCTAAGATTGTGGAGGATTTGCTCAGTATGGTGAAAGATGCCCCAGCTGTTACGCCCGATGTTATGAGTGTTATATACAGCAACCTCATCAACATATATTGTGAGTGTTTTGTAAGAAGTATTGCGTCTAGCTATTGTGAAAAGTAGTTTAACTTGATTAATTTGCTGGGCGATTGAAAATGGATTTGATTCAAAATGGTCTGTAGTAAAAAAATGTTAAGGTCGACACAACTCGATACTACGGTACATTGTTTTGTACTTCGGATCTCAGTACAAAATCTGTACAGACGTAAGCTTGCAGTTGCCTCTGTCGGCTGCTAGGCTACCGTGTTTTGTGTTATCACTTACCTGCAAATTGATTGTGTTTCTGTCTCTTATTATATTTATATGTTTTCTTTATATTTTTGAAGATTTTTTAATTAACGGACAAACATAAATCACACTAAAGGAACAAGGGAATATTATTATAACATAAAATTCATGTTTTCCTTAAATAATTCATTTATACAACTCTTGCTAACATTGCATCTGCACGCCGTTCGTAACGTTATCAGGGAACAACGTAAACCTATTGTGCTATCTCGCTTGTTTAATCAGTCTTACTGTTTGATTTTTTAGATATTTTTGTAAAAAAAAATTAAGATGGTGTTAAGTCTCTAGGTTATATCTTTTATTACTGATATTGAGAATTTGTTATATAATTCAATGATTTTTTTGATAAATCACTTGTCAGTGTTGTAAAAAACATGGGTGGAAACAATCCATGGTGGTTACATTTCAGTTAGTGTTTATTACTATCCAGATTTTATTCCTAAAAACAAAAAAATTATTTTAATTAAATAACATCATGGTCTCTTGAATATTTCTTTCTTAATCTTACTTAACCCTTTCCAGGCGGCCTTTATAATGTCCATACAGACAGAAAAGTTATTTTATTTTTTAATTAAAAAAATATATTTTTTTTATCCCCATAATTTATAGAATGTTGTAAATAGTTGACCTATGCAACACTTAGCTCCAAATTTTTTTTTCATCTTTTTTCATAAAAAATAATGTTTATATTACATTTTTAATTATTATATAAAAACAAAAAATTTCCTAGTACCTACATCAGATAAAGATATAAGATATAATTGAATTAAAGATTGTTTTTACGAAGATTTATGATATTACACAATCAACTATAACAATAACTGTCATAATAATCGGCGGATATATCCGCCTACCGTTTGCGTAGCCCAAAAAGATTAGGGGAATATATCCGACTACCGGGCTATGCACAAAATGCTAGCGGATATGTATCCGCCTATAGTCCTGGAAGAGTAAAAAATGTCCTGTTTCATTTATAAAAAAATATCAAGTTTATATAAATTAGCTAGTTTTTTGGGTAAAAAACATTGAGGGATAAAAACTCCACTTAATTTCAGAATGGCCTATAAATTAATGCAAATATTGTGAAAAAAAAAAACAATTTGTTTCCAAGCTGCAAACTAACAAGATTGCTTGGTTTTAATGTAAATAATTGAATTCGAAAAATAACAGAGTAGATGTCCCCTATAATGAAATTAAAGCAATTGAAAAACAATTGAAAATCAGATGAAAGCAATTGAGTGAACAACAAGAGACAGCAAAAAGGCTTGATGAGATTCTTATTCTTATATTTCATTGTTTCGTGTTCATTTATTTAAAAAAAGATTTAGAGGTATACATTATTTTATTTGTGATATTATGTAAAACCCTTAATTTAGATGACAAGATGAACTAATTGTTTACTCATGCTTCAGCTACCCAAAACAATTTTGACACTGCTTTGGAAAAGCTCGAGGAAGGTTTGAAGAAAATACCATTGGAGATGTTCTACACCACAACTCTGCAGAGGCTAAAGGAAGGTCTAGAAGCCAACAACAAAACCTTCAAATACACCATTCCTCCTAGGGACAGGGTGGGTATTGTTTAGTTTAACTATATAGTTAGTTATTACAACTCTTTGTAGCTTAGGCTAAATACTTTTTTAATAAATAAAAAAATCAAGTCCTAGTAACATCAGAATATGCTGAGAAAAGCTGAATTGTTCTTTGCACTGAGTGTAATGTGTTTTCTTTCTCCAATAATTTAAAACTTTACAAAATCAGGATTTTTAGAATAAAGGAATAGCAGCTAGATAACCTTAGACAAGTTCAGATAGGTCGTAAGTGCAAGCAGAAAACACTCAATATTTTGTCTTGTGGGGTGACAATTCAAGGTAGCAACACTGGCAACGCTGCATAAGCAACCGTTTTGTTAAGCAATTTTTACTACACTTGACAAAGTCCCCAAGTGAACGAAAGATTGTGTGTTTCCTTAATGTACTGAGGCCTACCTGGAATTGTTTAAGGTGTGCTAGCTTCTATATCCCATTATTCTAAAAACCACAATTCTGGTCTAGAATTTTCCTTAAACAAAACTCTACAGAATCAATGGTTAATATTGACTGAGTATTATTTGTACACATGCCTATCTACTGCAACTAGCAAAGCATAATACGTCTTTTAGAGAATATGTTTAATTAAAACCATTCTTTTCTAGCATGTAATATTGAGTTATTTAATTTATTTCCAGAGAGCTGCTACTAACGTCTTCCTCCAATGACCTTCCTCTTCCTGTGGTTCCACCCAAGTACTTATTTGGCTTACAGTGTATGTCTAATTCACCTAAACATCCTTTATTTTATTGTTTACCAACAGAATTCTGGTTTTGAATTTCCTGTAATTTAGAATTTTGGTTAAACAAAAAAGTGACTGATAATGGTTTTTTTGAAGGGATATAGTTTAGCTAGGTTGTTTTCCTGACAAGTTACAGCCCAAAGACTAATTAATCGATACCCAATAAGAAACCCTTGTGATGACCACAAGTGCAAATTGTTTGTACTAACCTCCCTTTCTTTAAACCTTTACCAGCCTTAACCTTCACTTATAGCTATATTTTTAAAATATTCTCTGTAAATTGTCAGTGGTAATACAGAAAAGTTCTTTTCTTGTAAGTTTAAACTTTTTTTGTGGTGGCCTCAGTTAGCAATACTGAATATTACACCAGATTTGAATGTTTAATCTACCGTCTGAAGAAGTTCTCAAGACCAAACATCAGTGTAACGTCTTGTCAACGTTTACCGTGTTTGGCCCTGGTCTCAGATGAGCTCGCTGAACTGTGAACTCTCTTAAAATCCCGATACAGAATAAATATTTTGTGTTTGCCCAGAAATTTGTTTAATAACTTTTACCAGCCACTCTTAACTGGAGTTTGATTTACAACTTGAGGGATACCATTCAATTTTTTCATTTATGTTCTACACGTTCTTCTGATTTTAACAAATGCTTTCCAAGCATTTGGAAGTCACTTGCTTATAATTTTTTAATAACAATCTTGTTTTTAACTTTTTTTGTTTACACATTTTAGTTTGACTTACCGATCTCCCAACCTTAACTCTTCACAATGACTCGTTTGCTCAATGCCATAAACTGCTTTTAAATCTAAAGTTGTTTTGCGTTTCAGAGACAAAAAGAGTCTACGTCTTCATCATCGTCAAGTGAAACTGAACCAAAGAAATCTGTTGCTTCTAACTAACAAGGGAAGTGAATTTTAGCTTTAGTTACTAACGATGTTTTCTGCTAAAAAGTATTTTGTACCACAATCATCTTTTTTCATTGGCAAGCAATCATAAGCCATTGTTAAAATCAAAATAATATCCTTGACTTAAAATATTTGTTAAGATTCGTTCTGTTACTGTAACTTGAGTATTGAAATGATTAATTACCTTTGATATAAAACATTACTTATTAATAAAACATTTAATATTTTATTTTGTCAAACTTCTGACCAATCGAGCTGGAATAAAAACACTTAGTAGTAAAACAAGCTTAAAAAATTCATTCACAAATTTGTTTCACTTTGTCTTTGTACCTGTACATTTCAATGTACCGTTTTGTATGTATTAGTTAAACATAGTTATTATCATAGAGACTGTTTTGTTAAAATAAATATTGCAATTGTACATAAACTGAATTTTCCCCTTTTTTTACACCAACCTATATTCAATCAGCCATAGTTTTACTTGGGAAACTATGATTTCAACATAAAACTTGAAATGTTGTTTTGTTGAAGTTGAGTCATTTTGTGTATCAACAATGCCATAAATTGAAAATGTTTTATCGTCTCACAAAAGGCAGGAGAAACAAGATAGATCATGGGCCAAGTTTGCCACAAATATAGAATGGAGGTTTTGCCACCAAACTTAGATTAGTTTTGAACTGGTTGGCGTTAAGGATATAAAAAGTGGTTGTTTATCAGACAAAACTTAGACCATGCGACTGTGAATTATGGCTTGAGTTTCTTTTATTCGAATATAACTTAAGATTACATATTGATTACATACTAAAGTAGAAACAGTGAAATACTTTATGAAGTACACTTTTCCAATGTTGTACTAGGTAGATTTATTTCTCGTAGTTGAAGTAAAACCTTAAATACTGAAATAAATGAGGCTATTTCGGATAACATATTTGTAGGTTCGTCAGTCGTTGGAATTGAGAGTCTATTTCTCTTTAAAAATCTCTATAATAGTAGTTTTTACGGTTTTTAAATTACTAACAGCTTAAAATCTACAGCTGTATACACAAAATCAATTTACCTACAGTTACCTGACAAAGTGGCCTTCCTTGCACTGAATATAGTACGCCAAGTAGCTAATTGCTTCATTGTGGATATTTATAGGCATGCACTGTGGATGGGATACTCCCTGGTGTGGATTAACGTCCGCACTAGTGAGTACTACTACTATCCGCAGTACTATCCTGATAATTAGACCAATTCGTATATACCAAGGAAAAAATGTGGTTCGGATTCCACTATAAACTGTAGGTCCCTTAGTTGCCATTAGCTGTTTGGGCTATTAATTAACAGCTGTGTCTAAGGAATGTCGGCCTTAGTCACTAACAAGACTACAAGATCGCGCCACTCATCCTACACTCATCTCCATTCATACTTGGCTTAAAATACCTACATAGTATGGTCGCCATTTCATAAGAAAGTATAAAGTAAAGTATAAAAGTATAAGTTAAGTACTTATTTTTGCTGCACACCAGTATTCCAACCAAATAAGTTGGCAACACTTAAGATCAGCTGGTGCAGTGTTTCCCATTTTGTTTTTCAACACTTGGGTTTAACCCAATCTAAAACCGTGTTGTATAGGGTTTCTAAGACTAATTATTTATATGTTTGATAGTAACTGTAGGAAAAATAGAATAACGCTAGTGCAAAGTGCCTATGCTGAACTCGAGAAACTGTTCTCTCATGTGCAGTAAAGTGCCACTTCGCACACTAGTTATACAAATAACTATAGAACAATCAACAGTTGTTTTCTAGTTCTCTATCAGAGATCCTTGTCTTCGTTTGCTTCATTACATTCTGTTAACACCGCTGCCCCCGCCATCACTAATATAATTTGTTTTGTCCTCCACCACTTCCAAACCGGAGGAGGACATCATAGTTTAATATATTATTATTGGCAGAACGCAGGTTGTTGGTAATTTAAGTAGTACAGTTTATTATAAAAAGAAAGAGAAGAGATAGGTCTAGTCTGGATGAACTACAGAATGTAATTGAATATTTGTTTACTAAATATAAATAAACAATAAACAGCTGAACATATGATATTAAATATAAAACACAAAAGGAAAATTAATAGTTCAGAACTAAAGGTAAAGATTATGAGGAGTGGTGACATTCTTCCACCTCAGAGAACTATACATTTTCTTTTAGTTTACAAGTTTTTCTTGTTTTATTATTCCGCAGCCAGTCTTGACGTCAACTTTTCTCTTGTATTCTTTCCAGGATCAAATATTTGTAGTAATAACTTCAGTGCTTCTCTTTTTGTTAGTAGCTTCTCTTTGCTGTTTTGACTTATATCGATGCTTCTGTTGTTATCAATCTTGAGGTAATCATCATCTGGTTGCCATTTGATTCCCAGAACGTTGGCTTCTTTACCAGGTGTTGATTTGAGTTCTTCTGGAATGCCATTCAAACCTCTATTACTGTTGGTTACATATCCGCAGATAACAAAACCACCTTTGTCATGAACTTTTATTACTCCATCTACTAACTTCAGTGCCTCTACCTCTGATGGGCAGCTTCCAACATAATCGTCCATGCAGTGATCTCTCAATATAGTTTCACAAGCTTCTGGATAAGGATCTATCTCTTCTAGAGCATTCGTATTTTTAACTTTTTGCACACAAAGTTTTGCTTCTTCCGCAGTTCCTTCTGTGGCATTCCCTTTAGTAACATATTCCTCCATTATCTGTACACATTTTTCACCGAATTCCTTATCTTTATCCATTCTTCTTTCCAGATTACATAATCTTTTTTTAGCCAAAGAGTAATTGTTTGGTAAATTTTCTTTCCACAATAAACCTGTTTCCCATCGATCTCCTACCTTCTTTGTAGTTTTCTGAAATATATCTTCGGCTCTTCTATCCTCTTCAGACAGTAGTTCGTTGTCATTCACGTCATCTTGCCAATTTGCACCTAAGGATTTGCCAACTAAATTTCTGAGCTCTTTACAGCAGTCTCTTGGCTCTACCAATTCATCTTCTTCGATTAAATTTACATGATGGAATACATGTTCTTGTTGTGATGTTGTATTTTCTTTCCTATCAGAAACTATTCCATGAACAACCCAACCTAAAAGTGTCTTACTTACTGCTGGACCACGCCATGGACCATGTACAACATTCCTAGAGACAAGGAGAGGCCAATTGTCTTGGCCAATTAGAATGGTAGGCTTAGCATTTTTGAAAGAAGAGATTTTGATCTTATTTAAGTGTTTCCACTTAACTGAAAGATGTTCCATATTAATCGACTGAATAGGAAGTGACAAATCTTTTACTGTTCTTACATTATTCAAATAATACTTTTTAGCATTATCTTCAAGTCCCGAAATATTAAGAGATATTTTCATGGAACTTCCCTCAGATCTAGTCACATCGTTTGACCACTGCATAATCATCTCAGAAGCTGGACCCTCAATTCCCAATTTACCTGCAATTCCCTCTTCTACTAAAGTCAATGTTGAACCATCGTCTAAGAACGCATAAGTTTCCAGATCTCCCTTAGGTCCATGAAGTTTAACTGGAAGAATACGCAGCAAAACTTGATCTTTATTTGGTGAGTTTATTACATTACTAGTACCAGAATCAATCTTATTTGGGAGGTGTAGAAAAGTATTGTGGCGTTTCTTACATTTTTTACAACTCTCCTTACTCTTACAACTGGGTGCTGTATGACCTTTCTTTAAGGACCATTGTTAACACCGCTGCCCCCGCCATCACTAATATAATTTGTTTTGTCCTCCACCACTTCCAAACCGGAGGAGGACATCATAGTTTAATATATTATTATTGGCAGAACGCAGGTTGTTGGTAATTTAAGTAGTACAGTTTATTATAAAAAGAAAGAGAAGAGATTGGTCTAGTCAAATCAAATCAAATCAAATCAAATATATTTATTTCCATTCGGTACAATAAAGTACAATAGGATAGGTCAGATTGCATTTTACAAATTGTCATGAAGCAAATTAAAGTAGATGTAAATATAAAATTAAACTTAAATTATATAGTATATAGAACAAAACAATTAAACAAACAATTTCTCCTTCAAGCTGGCCTGGAACATCAATAACAGATAAAATAAAAAATAATTTCTGATAACATCATATCTTAATAAAAAAAAGAGAGTATTAGTTTTCAATAAAAGTTTTAATGTGAAGAATGATTTATGGAGACTATTAATTAATAGAGTGTGGGGATTTGTATTTAAGTGTATAGAACGATCTAGAAAGCAATTTGGCAAGAAAAAAACTCATTAAGTGAATAAAGTGGGTTTATTAATAACCAGTTATAAAACTTTCTCTTGAATTGTTTGACATCATATTTTGAGATAAGGCCAATGAGTTTATTGTAAACCTTTGGAGCTACAACAACATGGCTGTTTATAGATTTTGAGAGCCTGTGGTAGTCAATGGAAGTATGATTTTTATTTCTAGTATTATATCTGTGTTCATGGAATTTTAGTATTTGTGTGTTATTTATTACATATACAGTTAAATCAAAGATATACAGATTAATAATAGTAGGAATCTTCATTGAAACAAAAAGAGGTTTACAATGTTCATCAAGTTCAGTTTCAGCGATAACCCTAACGGCTCTTTTTTGGAGAATTAAGATTTCATCCACTCTACTGCAGTTACCCCAGAGAATTAATCCATATCTAATTATTGATTGAAAGTAGGCAAAATAGGCAGTTCTAACAGAATTTGTTTCCAAGCAATGAACCAGGCGTCTTAGGAGAAATATTGTTCTTGATAGTTTTGGTGTTATATAATCAATGTGAGATCCCCAGGTAAGAGTACTATCTATTTTTATGCCCAAAAATTTCACCGAATTAACTGCGATATTAATATCAGTCCCGCTATTAGGGAGGGGTCTTAGGCTGAAAACAACATTCTGTGTTTTACTTTCATTTAAGAGAAACCCATTTGCTTTGAACCAGTCAGATGATGTGGTGAGGGTATTTTTTGATAATAAATTTAGCTGTTCAAAATCATTATTACTGTGGAAAAAGGTTGTATCATCTGCATAAAGAATAGTTGAGGAATTAACTGAATTTGGGAGATCATTAATGCATATTAAAAACAAAAGTGGACCCAGGACCGAACCCTGGGGCACACCCACATTTATTGATATTTCTTGAGACCAGAGACCATCAGTGTAAACCCTTTGTCTTCGATTAGATAAGTAAGATTTTATGAGCTTTAGAGCAGAGCCTGTAATTCCATAGTAATTTAATTTTTTTATTAGGTCATTTGGATCAACACAATCAAATGCCTTGCTAAGATCACAGAAGGTGGCCTGGGCATATGACTTGGTCTCAAAGGAAGAAATAATTTCACGAACTAGTTTGTCTACAGCTTGGACTGTTGATTTGTCCCTTCGAAACCCGAAT